TTGACAAAATGACACACATAAGAGACCTAAAGACAATAGTCAATGATACTGCAATAATGTATGACAGATGGTAGCTACACTTAAGGTGAGCTCAGCATAACATAGAGACTTGTGGAATCACTATGTTGTACACCTGACAGTAATATAACATTGTATGTCAACTGTACTTCAATTTAAAAAAGAGAGAAAGAGAGAGACCAAAGATTCAGAGCCCCAGGTGTTGCATAAGATTCGGCAGAAACATAATGGAAACAAGAAATGAAAGGAAAAAGGAAAAGAGAACTTAATGAGAGCGAAGCCACACAATATTGGAAACATTTAGCTTTTGAATTTTGTTCTCCTGAGCTTTCTCACTTAAACCGTAGCAGAGGTTTGGAGGGAAATAAATGGCAATTTTGCTTTACCCAGGCATTTAATGTTCCTGTAACTATTATAAGGAAAAGGGTTACTTGATCAAGAATTCTTGAAGTCAGGTTTCAAAACACTTGGCTAAAAGACCGAGTCCTGGAATTCCAGAACGTTATTAAAATTCCATGCTCATGACCATTACTGGAAAGGGCATGTCCTCCTTCAAAAAGGACACCAGCCTGCTGGGTTTTTTACACCAGTTGGAGAGTTGCTGAATCATATTGCTTTTTTCCTTCACCTAAATATATCACCCCAAAATATGACTTAACCTAGGCTATGATATGGGTTTTTCCTATTTATTTTCATAATTAAGTAAGTAAAATTCATTATTCTCTTCAGAAAATAAGTCATTCTAGACAAATGAGTTTTTACTGTTTACATGTTTACATGATTTCAAAAATATTTAAACCATGTGGGATAGAAATAGTTCTAAAATATTTTAAGTTTTGCCACACTTTCTTATGCAAAGCATACAGGATATGGTTTGTCTTTTTGAAGATTAGCTTGAGGCCTTTGTCATAGTTTGGTTACTGTATATATTGTAATAATGGTAAGTCACACTGGGTGCTTACTATGTGCCATGAACCATGCCAAGCACGTTGTACACATTATCTCACCTAATCCTCACAACCACCTTCAAGGGAGAGACTCTTCTTATGCTTACAGATGAGAACAGGGAGGTTCAGAGGCATCTGCCTTTAGAGTTATGCACTTTTAGATTCCGTCTCTAAAATGTACTATATTTACATGGTTAACTTAGCAGAGTGTACCAAATAGAGTATCCTTTTGGGGTTATCAGAACAGTCTCAGGTACTGGGTGTGCATATTGAAATGATGCTATCCTTCAGGGTAGTTTGAAGTTTGTCAAGCTGTTTGCTCCTGTGTTCAATGACCCAGAGTGGGGAACTGTTTGAGCTCTTGCCTGTATTATCAGATTCTAAAATATATATACATTTTTATATAAATATGTCTAATAATATATATATATCTTCCCACTTTTTTTTTTTTAAAGATTTTATTTATTTACTTGAGAGAGAGAGAACACATGAGAGGGGATAGGGTCAGAGGACAAAGCAGACTCCCCGCCGAGCAGGGAGCCCGATGCGGGACTCAATCCCGGGACTCCAGGATCATGACCTGAGCCGAAGGCAGTCGCTTAACCAACTGAGCCACCCAGGCGCCCCTATATCTTCCCACTTTTAATCATGTACTTGTCTATAGTAGCTCCTCTAAGTAAAAAAAAAAAAAAAAAAGTTTGTTAAACTCTATGTTAAAAATAAAAAGAGTAGGGGTGCCTGGCTGGCTCAGTTGGTAAAGCATGTGACTCTTGATTTCAGTGTTGTGAGTTCAAGCCACATGTTGGGTGTGGAGCCTACTTAAAATAAAAATAAAAATAATGATAAGTAAAAAATAAAAAGAATAGATTTTTTTCACAGCTTCATTGAGATGTAATTCACATATCATACAATTCACCCATTTAAAATGTGCAATTTGGGGCACCTGGGTGGCTCAGTTAAGCATCCAACTCTTGGTTTCAGCTCAGGTCATGATCTCAGGGTCGTGAGATGGAGCCCCACAATGGGATCCATGCTCAGCGTGGAATCTACTTGGGATTCTTTCTTCCTCTCTTCCCTTCCCCCCAATTCATGTTTTCTCTCTCTCTGAATAAATAAATAAAATCTTTTTTTAAGATTTTATTTATTTATTCAGAGAGAGAGAGCACAAGCCAGGTGAGGGGCAGAGAGAGAAGCAGGCTCTCTGCGGAACAGGGAGCCCCATGTGGGACTCTATCCAGGGACTCCAGGATCATGACCCCAGCCAAAGGCAGACACCAAACCAACTGAGCCACCCAGGAGCCCAATAAATAAAATCTTAAAAAAAAAATATGTGGGGCGCCTGGGTGGCTCAGTCAGTTAAGCATCTGCCTTCGACTCAGGTCACCTGGGATTGAGCCCCCTGTCTGGCTCCCTGCTCAGCGGGGAGTCTGCTTCTCCCTCGGCCCCTCCCCCTGCTCATGCTCTCCCTCCCTCTCTCTCTGTGTGTGTCAAATAAATAAACAAAATCCTTAAAAAATTTTAAAAATGTGCAATTCAGTGGTTTTTAGTATATTTACAGATATATATAACCATCACTACAGTCAATTTTTTAACACTTCATTACCTCAAAAAAAAAAAATCTCAGGGGCGCCTGGGTGGCTCAGTCACTAAGCATCTGCCTTCTGCTCAGGTCATGATCCCAGGGTCCTGGGATTGAGCCCCGCATCGGGCTCCCTTCTCCGCGGGAAGCCTGCTTCTCCCTCTCCCACTCCCCCTGCTTGTGTTCCCTCTCTTGCTGTGTCTCTCTCTGTCAAATAAATAAATAAAATCTTAAAAAAAAAAGTCATACCCTTTAGCTATTGCCCCCATATTTCCCTGTCCTCCCTCCCCCCAGCCCTAAGCAATCATTACTACTTTCCCTACTTATTCTGGACTTCTATATGGATGTAGCTTGTATCAATACTTTATTCCTTTTTATGACCAAATTATATGCCATTGTATAGATACACCACATTTTGTTTATCCATTCATGAGTTGATGAACATTTGGGTTATTTCCGCATTTTGACTATTCATAAGTAATGCTGCTATGAACATTAACACAACTACTTGCATGGACACACGCATGTAGGAACTCTATGTTTCACATTTTGAGATACTGTCAGACTATTTTCCAAAGTGGCTGCACCATTTTATATTCCCACTGATTGTGTACTAACATTCTCCAAATCTTCACTAGCAGTTTCTACTACCTGTCTTTTTGGTTATAACCATCCTAGTGAGTGTGAATAGCATCTCACTGATGTTTTGATATGTATTTCCCTGATGGCTGATGATGTTGAGAATTTTTTCATATGCTACTGGCCATTTTATATATCCTTTGGAGAAATACCTATTCAGTTCACTTGCACAGTTTTTAATTGAGTTATTTGTCTTTTTACTGCTGAGGTGTAATAGTTCTTTGCATATTTTTGATACAATCTGTTATCAGATTTGCAAATATCATTTGCAAAATTTTTGTCCCATTTGGATTATCTTTTCACTTTTTGATGAAACTGGAAAGTGTGAGCCTTATTACTTTGTTCTCCTATTTCAAGATTGTTTTGGCTATTCTGGCTCCCTTGCAAACTCATGTGAATTTTAGAATCAGCCTGTCAATTTCTACAAAGAAGACAGCTGGGATGCTGATAGGATTGCTCTGAATCTGTAGATCAGTGTGGGTACTTTGCTATCTTAGCGATATTAAATCTTCTGACCCATGAATACAGAGTGTTTTCCATCTATTTCAATCTTTTAAAATTTCTTTCAACAATGCTTTGTAGTTTTCAGAGGATACATTTTGCCCTTTTTTTGGGTAAATTTATTCCTAAATATTTAGATAGATATTTAGTGAAGACCTGAGGGGCTCTTTCAAAGCAAAATACATGAGCTTTACCAAGTAATTCCCATAGATGTTTTTCGTTTCCTCTTAGTTCATAGCCATGTTCTGGGTAGAGATCGCCAGACGGTTGAATTCTGATGGAGTGAAGGACTGCCGTGCATCTGAGCAGATCATAACTTCTTTTTTTCTTTGTTTTTGTATTACAAAAGTAATACATGTTTTTTTTTAAAGATCTTATTTATTTATTTTTGAGAGAGAGAGCGCATACAAGCTGGGAAGGGGCAGAGGGAGAAGCAGACTCCCCCTGCCAAGCAGGGAGCCCAACGCGGGACTTGATCCCAGGACCTTAGGATCATGACCGGAGCCAAAGGCAGATGCTCAACCAACTGAGCCACCCAGGCACCCACAAAAATAATATGTTTGCTGTAAAGATTCATGCACTATTGAAACATCCATGAGTTTTGGGTATCCTGTTTTTTAAACTTAGTAAGTTATGGAAATTTCCATGTCATATGTAAATCTACTTTTTAAAAATAGCTGTGTTGGGGCAAATTACATCAGTGTTCGTAATTGAACTGTAGATGGATTTTAGGCTATTTCCGGTAGTTTTCTGTTACAAACTATGCTTAACAGATTTTTTTTTTTTTAAAGATTTTATTTATTTATTTGAGAGAGAGAGAATGAGAGACAGAGAGTATGAGAGGGAGGAGGGTCAGAGGGAGAAGCAGACTCCCCTCCGAGCAGGGAGCCCAATGCGGGACTCGATCCTGGGACTCCAGGATCATGACCTGAGCCAAAGGCAGTCGCTTAACCAACTGAGCCACCCAGGCACCCGCTTAACAGCTTTTAACACAGGCTCCAGTTGCTGTTTTTCATGATCTATTAAGTACTTGGAAAAAATGTAAGAGTTGAAAGAAAGGCATCTTTTGTTGTTGTTACAGCTTTATTGAGGTATGATTGACCCTCGATAAATTACGTTTATTTATACTGTGTGACTTGGTACATTTTGACATATGTATGTTCTGTGAAACCACTACCACAATCAAGACAGTTTACATACTCATCACCCCCCAAAGTTTCCTTGAGCCCCTTTATAATCCCTTCCTCCAGCCCTTCCCCACCCTCCCTCATCCCCAGATAAGCACCCACCTGCTTTTGGCACTATGGATTAGTTTGCATTTTCTAGATTTTATGTAAGTGGAATAATATAGTATGTATTTTTTTGGTGTAGATTCCTTTGCATGTTTTGTGGATATCAATTTTTTTTTGAGAGAGAGAGAGAGAATGAGCTGCAGGAGGGGCAGAGGGAGAAGCAGTTTCCCCGCTGAGCAGGGAGCCCGATTTGGGACTTGATCCTGGGACTCTGGGATCATGACCTGAGCCAAAGGCAGACGCTTAACCAATTGAGCCACCCAGGTGCCCTCAATATTTCATTCTTTTTTGTTGATGAAGAGTATTCTACTGTACGGATATATCACAATTTGTTTCTTCATTCACTTTTTGATTGGCATTTGGGTTGTTTCCAGTTTGGGGCTATCACAAATAAAGCTGCTATGGACATTTGTGTCTTTGAATGGATGTATGCTTTTCTTTCTCTTGGGTAAATACCTAAGAGTGGAATGGTTGGGTTGCATGGTAGGTATGTGTTTAACTTTTAAAAACACTGCTGAAGTATTTACCAGATTATTTTACACTCTACCGGTAGTGTAAAAGTGTTCCATTTGTTCAACGATGCTTATGATCAGTCTTTTTAGTTTTAACCATACTAGTTTTAGTATGCAGTAGTATTTTTTTGTGGTTTTTGATTTACACTTTCCTAAAGACTACTGATGATGTTAGTGCATTTTTCATGTACTTACTTGCCATCCATATACCTTTTTGGTGGATTGTTTGTTCAGATCTTTTGCCTATTTTTTTTTTTTAAAGATTTTATTTATTTATTTGACAGAGACAGAGACAGCGAGAGCAGGAACACAAGCAGGGGGAGTGGGAGAGGGAGAAGCAGGCTTCCTGCTGAGCCGGGAGCCCGATGTGGGACTCGATCCCAGGACCCTGGGATCATGACCTGAGCCGAAGGTAGTTGCTTAACCAACTGAGCCACCCAGGCGCCCTGCCTATTTTTTAATTGAGTTGTTTGTCATCAACTTTTACTGAATTGTAAGCGTTCTTTACATAGTCTAGAGACAAGTCCCTTGTTGGATATATGTTCAGCAAGTACTTTCTCCCCGTCTCTCTTGGCTATACATTTTAAAACTTTTTATTGAAGTATAGTTGACACACAATGTTACATTAGTTTCAGGTATATAACGTGGTGATTCCACGCGTCTGTATGTTATGCTGTGCTCACCACAAGCGTAGCTACCGTCTGTCACCATACAATGCCATTACAATACCCTTGGCTGCGTTCTCTATGCTGCACCTTTTATCCCCGTGACTTATTCATCTTGGCTATTACATTTTATTTTTATTTATTTTATTTTATTATTTTTTAAAGATTTTATTTATTTATTCACGAGAGACAGAGAGAGACAGAGAGAGAGGCAGGGGGAGAAGCAGGCTCCCAAGGAGCAGGGAGCCTGATGCGGGACTCGATCCCAGGACCCTGAGATCATGACCTGAGCCGAAGGCAGACGCCCAACCATCTGAGCCACCCAGGCGCCCTTGGCTATTACATTTTAAGGGAAGCATGGCCAAAAGATTTCAACAATCCCTTTTCTCAAACCCTCAAACTAACATGAATTTCTGTTGATCTCAATAAAAAATCATTATAAAGTGGAAACCCAAAGTTGCTTTAAGTGTATTCTTAATTTCCAGAGAAGTGACACTTATATAAATTATTGGGGTAAAAAGAAAAAAATGACAGCTGATTGGAATTTGTTGTTTTTATTATTTATTTGTCTAAGTCACTTTAACTGTTGGGTATAGTGATGAAGGATAAGCACCATATTTTCATTTTCTCAGGCTGTCTTCTCAGGGCTTTCTTTTTGAGGAGTTGAATAGAGAAAAGAACGAACATATGCTCGTTCTCTCTAATAAGTGTTTTATTCTTTTTTTAAAGATTTTTTATTTATTTATCTGAGAGAGAGAATGGGAGACAGAGAGCATGAGAGGGGGAGGATCAGAGGGAGAAGCAGACTCCCCACTGAGCAGGGAGTCCGATGCAGGACTCGATCCTGGGACTCCAGGATCATGACCTGAGCTGAAGGCAGTTGCTTAACCAACTGAGCCACCCAGGTGCCCCTCTAATAAGTGTTTTAATAGGTCTGTGACTCTTCCACATCCCATTCCCCTCAGAGAGGCAGAATAGTAAATGGGTTAAGAGCATGGAGTCTGCCAGGGAGGAGTCCCGCTCTCCTCTTATGAGCTATGTGACCCTGGGTAAGTTACTCAAACATTCTGTGCCTCAGTTCCCTCATCCGTAACATGAGAATAAAAATAATACCTAATGAATAGAATTATTATGAGGATTAATTGACTCAAAATATACAAAGTACTTAAATGGTTCCTGGCACAAACTAAACAAAAGTACTTAAATGGTTCCTGGCACAAACTAAACACTCTAGAAATGTTAGCTTTTATTATTAAGACTTGATGCGGCAAATATTTTATTTGATTTTCACTGCAAGAACACACTGATTTTATCTGTTTTGATTTAGGCTTCTTTGGCATAGGTTTGCCAACACTTATGCTGAGATACACTGTTCACAAACTCCTACTCAATAAACATGAACGGAGAGCCAAAACCCTCAGTTTGTAGAAGACTTGATTTTAGTAAGTGAAAAAGCAGTCTCTCTCAACATTTTTATCATTTATATCATTGGCTCATATCTTTTTGTATATTGGGCATTATAATAATAACTAACAATTGAGAACCTTATATGTTGAGTATGTGCTAGATGAGAGAGAGAGACAAGATAGACAGTGAGAGACAGAGACGCACAGAGAGAGTGTTAGTTGGAGGAAATGTCCCTTAGGTAAAATAACTTGTCTATGATCACACAGCTGGTAAAGTAGCAAAGTTGAATTCAAACCAAGGGACGTCTGATTTCAAAATCTTTCACTTTCTACTCTACCACATACTTCTTATATTATTATAATTTCTTGTGCGTGCAGTTTTTTAAAAAGATTTTATTTTTTTGTTTGTCGGAGAGAGAGAGCACATAAGCAGGGGGAGCGGCAGGCAGAGGGAGAAGCAGGCTTCCCGCTGAGCAGGGAGTCAGATGTGGGGCTCTGTCCCAGGGCCCTGGGATCATGACCTGAGCCAAAGGCAGACACTTAAAGACTGAGCCACCCAGGTGCCCATAATTTCTTGTGTTTTATATACTCTTGTATTAGAGACCAAGAGCAAGCTGCTTCATTTCAATATGTGGAAATGTGTGATTTTACAATATTAGTATTTTATATGGAGGGCTATAATGGGACTTGCTGGGGTGTTCTATGTATTTTCTCTTACAGAACTCTTAAGAAATGCCTTGGATCACATCAGTCACTGAGCCATTGTCTTTAGTATCCAGAAAATGAGTTCTTGTTCCTTGAAAATAGAGAAGTAAGCCAAAAAGTTAGTTAGGGGGAAAAAACCCTTTTGTTTATTACAGTACATTTGTATTCTACTTACATTTATTCGAAATTCTCGTGTAATGTATGTACATTTGGTTAGTGAAAACTTTTCAAGGCTAAACAGTGTACTTTTTAATTGAAAACAAAGAATACCTTCTAATCTTTGTTAATGTACATATGTATATTTAGCACAAACTTTTCACTCTAGAACAATGAACTTTCTCAATGATAGCTTGAAATGCAGAAAAAAATGTTAAGTCTGAGCTCTCAACATGAGCCTGTTAGGATTACGAAAATATGTAAGATTAGGCAAGAAACAAAACCCAAAGAAATGTGGATAGAATCATAAACTATTATTTATGGTACTTGATTTTGGCTAAAAATTACATTTCAGATATATTACAGTAAGAACAATAGAAATATATATTCACTTATTCAATAAATATTGTTTTACCTACTGTATGCTGGGTAAATTCTGGGCTTTAATCCCAAATCTTAAAATCTGGATTTATATTAGATTTTAATTGGACTTTTCACATTACCATAAAGCAATGTTGATTGTTTCTCTCTCTTTTTTAAGATTTATTTTTTTTAAAGATTTTATTTATTTATTTAATTGACAGAGAGAGAGAGAGAGACTGTGAGAGGGAACACAAGCAGGGGGAGTGGGAGAGGGAGAAGCAGGCCTCCAGCCAAGCAGGGAGCCCGATGCGGGGCTCGATCCCAAGACTCTGGGATCATGACCTGAGCCGAAGGCAGTCACTTAACCAAGTGAGCCACCCAGGTGCCCCTAAGATTTATTTATTTATTTTAGAGAAAGAGTGTGCCAGTGGGGTAGGGGAGGGGCACAGAAAGAGGGAGAGGGGAAGTAGACTCCCTGCTGAGTGCAGAGCCCATCGCAGGGCTCCATCCCAGAGATCATGACCTGAACAGAAATCAAAAGCCAGACACTTAACAGACTGAGCCACCCAGGCACCCCATGTTGATTGTTTCTAAGCGATGGATTCTTTCATATGGTTGGTTTTAGTAAAATCTCTTCATATTAGTGTGAAAATGAAAATGTAGGAAACCATTTTCAGGTTTGTTCGTTTTATAGGAAATAATAGCTGTTTCTTTGTTATTATGGAATATTACTATCCTTAGTCAATTTTTATGGATATATATGAGTAATAGCATTTCTAGTCACAATAGACAATATTACTTGTGCGTTTCAACTGATATTACAATTCAGAAGCAAATTTATTTTTTTGCTGAGAACATTTACTTTGTCATCAGCAAGAGTAAGCCCAATTCATGGTGTTCCAACTTATTAACACTATGTCACTCTGTTTCCATTTCAATGCCTTGTACTTATCAGTCAGTCCTGGCTGAAGAAGTTTGGTTACTATAAAATTATCTTAATTTCTTTCTACCTAGAAGGAACAGCCTCCATTGTCATGTTATTTCTCGGACAGCAATATTATTACTTTTTGGCTCTTTATGTCACTATTATCATGTAAGTAAATGCCAGTACCAATCCCCAAATTACACTAGGATTTTTTTTTTTATTTTTTTAAAAGATTTTTTATTTATTTGATAGAGAGAGACACAGCGAGAGAGGGAACACAAGCAGAGGGAGTGGGAGAGGGAGAAGCAGGCTTCCCACTGAGCAGGGAGCCCGATGTGGGGCTCGATCCCAGGACCCTGGGATCATGACCTGAGCCGAAGGCAGACACTTAATGACTGAGCCACCCAGGAACCCCTACACTAGGATTTTTTTTTTTTAGAGGGGGCAGGGGCAGAGGGAGAAGGAGACAGAGAATCTTAAGCTGGCTCCCCACCCAGCGCAGAGCCTGATGCAGGGCTTGATCTCAGGACCCTGAGATCATGACTTGAGCTGAAACCAAGAGTCAGACACTTAACTGACTGAGCCACCCAGGCACCTCTCACAGCTTCTTTTTTCAAGTTATTTCATACATTAGATTTTGTAGTAAAGTTCCTCTTTTTAACCCATTAAAGTGCATCATTTAGTAAATGCTGCTGCCAAGTAAGGATCTTGCCCCCAAATATGTTCTTTGTCTTTGTCCCCATCTTGGGAAATGGCCCTATAGTCTGCCTAGGCATCCAAGTCAGCAACTTTGTCTTTGTCTTCTCTTTCTTCTTTGTCTCCTACGTCCAATATGCTATCAATTTAATAGTAGTTTTATTTTCCTAATATGTCCTGAATCCATCCCTTCTCTGCTCCCATTGCCATTCCTTTAGCTCAGGTCCTCATCCTCTCAGATGGAGTAGTATACGGCCTCCCAGATGGTACCCTTGTCTCCAGTCCCTCCAAACCCTTCCTCCACACTGCTCCTAGAAGAACATGTCATTCCTTTGCTTAACAATCTTAAGTGGCTTCTCACTGCTTTCAGGACAGAATCCAAATGATGACAGATGCAGCCTTTTGTTATATAGTCCCTGTTTACTTCTTCATCCTCATTTTTTATTACTCTTCCAGTTTCACTGTACTCCACACCAAACAGGAATACTTCGTAGTTCCTGGTTCAAATACCTCATGTCAACATGCAGCATTCTGTGCCTGGGAAGCTGTTCACCATTTCCTGCCTGGCTCTCTCCTGGTGTTTCTGAAGGCTACAGCTCAGGGATGTGCTTCTCTGAAAAGCCTTCCTTGATGTCCTCATCTGGATTAGGTGTCCCTCCTGCATGACTCCCATGCCCTCTGCTTATCTGTGCTGGAGTGTTTACTCCCCTGCCTTGGACTGCCTGTGGCCTCCACTGGACTGAGCTTATTGCGAGTAGGGTCTAGTCTCTTATTGCTGTGGCCCCATTACCTAGTACAGTTCCTACAAATAGTTGATCATTAGAAAATGTGTTTTGGGTAGAGAAACTAATAATCCTACCCCAGGTCCCTGTTGGAACAATTTGAGAAAATGTTCATGAAGATTTATTTGCATTTTGAACAGATTGGTAGTGGAGAGTAGAGTAACTAACTCAAAGGATTGAATCTCGGCAGAATTTCATGAACCTCACATAGATAACTGTTCTATAAGTATATAATGGTGGCCCTGCCTATATCATATTTAAAATGACATTTTTAAAAGATTTTATTTTTTAAGTAAACTCAACACCCATCGTGGGGCTTGAAGTCATAACCCTGAGATCAAGAGTTGCATGCTCTACTGACTGAGCCAGCCAGGCACTCCCCCCCAAAATGACATTTTTATAGTGATTTTTAGAATGAAAATTTTTTTGCCTTTTTTTTTTACTTAAACTATTCCCCCATTTTTATTCTCCTATCATAATTAAAATGTTATATGTTCTTTTATAGTTCTTAATTTATCCCATTCTCGATAGCAAGAGAAAAGTGTCTGATTAATTTCCCTAGCCTGTTTTGTTCTTTAGAATCAGCCCATAATTTAATCAGATTAAATGAGAAGGTAGTCATTTGGGAATAAGGAAACAGCATAAAAACCATTTTTAAAAATACAGACTTAACTATAGAGAACAATGTGATGGTTACGGGGACGTGGGAGGAGGTTGAATAGGTAAGATGGGGATTAAGGAGCGCAGTTGCTGTGATGAGCACCAGGTGTTGTATGGAAGTGTTGAATCACTAAATTGTACACCTGAAACTAATATTACACTGTATGTGAACTCACTGGAATTTAAATAAAAACTAAAAAAACCCCAAATCGTTATTTATTTATTTTTTAAAGATTTAATTTATTTTTTGGTCAGAGAGAGAGAGCAAACAGGTGAGGCACGAGGCAGAGGGAGAAGCAGACACATATTTTGTGTATTATATGTATTATATACTGTATTCTTACAATAAAGTAAGCTAGAAAAAAGAAAGTGTGAATAAGAAAATCATCATAAGGAAGAGAAAATACATTTATAGTACTGTACTGTATTTATTCAAAAAAGTTCCCATATAAGTGGACCCATGCTGTTCAAACTTGTGTTATTTGAGGGTTAAATGTACTATAAAATAAAGATATATTAGGCACACACTTCTATCCCCCCCAAATATTATATAGATATGAATACATACTTCTCTTTTAAAAATGAACTAACCGGGGCACCTTGGTGGCTCAGTTGGTTAAGTGTCAGCCTTTGGCTCAGGTCATGATCTCAGGGTCCTGGGATTGAGCCCCACACATTGGGCTCCCTGCTCCGTGGGGGGCCTGCTTCCCCCTTTCCTGCTCCCCCTGCTTGTGCGCTCTCTCTCTCCGTCATATAAATAAAATCTTTTTTTAAAAATTAAATATAAATAAATAAATAAATAAAAATGAAATAACTATTTTTGCTTGGGATTTTAAAAAATGGTTTTGGGAGACACCTGGGTGGCTCAGTCAGTTAAGCGCCTGCCTTCACCTCAGGTCATGATCCCGGGGTCCTGGGATCGAGCCCCACATCAGGCTCCCTGCTCCGTGGGGGGCCTGCTTCTCCTCTCCCTCTGCCTGCCCCTCTGTCTGCGCTCTGCCTACTTGTGCTCTATCAAATAATAATGAGTCAACTGTACATTATTTCATTTTTCTTTCTTACAAACAAAATTTCAACTGTCATTTGATGTTTGGTTTTTTTTTTTAAACAAAATCTGTGCCTCCTAGTTATATGCATATTTTATATGTATATTTTAAAATTGCTTCTAGGGTGATTGTGCAAGCTTCTTTTCGGTTGTTTATGTTTAACCTGCCACTAGCTGATATGGTCGATGCAGATTTACTGAAGTTCAGTCAGCAGTAAGTACATTTATTCAAATATTAGCTACAAGAATATCACGTGGAGGCAGGACCTATCAGAGTCTGCCTGTTACATTACCACTACAAATCATGTATCTAAGAGACGATCATAAGACGCATCATTGGGAATTAGAGAGCAGAACATAATAGGATATTCATAATTGTTTGCCCTGGGCAACTTTCCCCTGCCTTTGAAAGGGCATCATAATTTTTTATCCCTCAGGTTCACACAACCAATGCTACAACAGGA